CAAAATCAACTGAAGCCATCCGATTTTTTCTTTGCGCCGTTTCCACATGTCGAACCAAATTTAACTGATTGTAACTACAATGATTTGAGTGGTTACACAGAACTCACCTTGGCTGTTTCGCTCTATACTACGAATTTACTCGAATCTGCTGAACGTCATATTAAAAGCCAGAATGATACTTGTCATGCTAAACATTGTGGAGTTTCACTTTTGCCAACGCACTCCATCCGTCTCATCCAAAAAGGACTTCGAACACGTGAATCTAAGAAAGAATACATTCTGGATAGTGAATGGCATAGTAATGCACAATTTCGACAAACGATTGACTTTATTATCTACACGCCTAACATGTCCACTTGTGAACGCTTAAAAAATTCAATTACTTCACGTTGCCGCTTATCGAATTTTGAAGTTCAGTACTCACTACTGGGTCAACAGACAGTAGCTCGAACTCTTGAAGTCACCACTGAGCATGTAACGAAAACATCGATGTATAATGAAATAAAGTCTCAATTTCCTTCAGATCTTCAAGATATAATCGCTTTGACTGATGATGACTATAAAAATCTGTTGACTGAAACCATGGATCAAATTACAATGAATTTACAAGTTGAAGAAGGTTATGAAAGCATACAAAATCTGGTTGGAATCAATCGACTGCTTGATCTTCAACTGCAGTATAAGCAAGTTCAGCTGACAAAAGTCAATGATCAACTTTGGGAATCGCTGTATTGGACGCCTGAGCTAACACGACCCGATCAATTATCAAAAGTTCTGAATAAAGTTATCAAACAAGATGCTACAGACTCCAACAAATTTATCTACGATTATTCGCAGGCAGACGAAGCTTTAAAACAAAACTTGAAATTTCACGATAGACAAAAGCTGGACAAATTAGAAAAATATTTAGCGAAACAATCTCAAAATATCACGCATACAACTGATGTTGATACTCACGTCGAAGTTGAAACAGACGGTAGTTTCTTCAACATAAACTCGGAAAGCATGAATCCCGATAAAGATGTCGATGTTGATGTTCAGAATACGAACAATAATAATTCATGGAATGATGATTTAATTTATTACAAAATAGATATGAACCGATTTAACGGCACGAATAATGAAAGAAAAAATGGTACAACAATAATTGTACAACGAAAAGATGTGAAAAAGTTACTTCGATATTTGTCAGAGCACGTTGAACTCGAAGATGATATCATAAAACCAAAATCAATCGATGTTACACTTGTTAAAGTCGGCTCGTTAAAATCTAGAACAAAACTGTTTTCAAATTCTGTTCTAGTAAAAACTCGAATGAATGTACACGTGCTGCCACTTCGCTGTCCATATGTATACCGTAATCATTCGTTAGCAAACGGTTGGCTTGCAAAAGAATGCCATCGTTTATCGAACGATGTCAATGCAATGCGCACTGCGCTAAATACAATACGCGATGAACTAAATGCAATGAATTCGACAATAAATCAAATGGAAAATCGAATTTATCGAAGACTAACAGGTATTTTTTTTTACTATCAAATGTCTTCTTTTAATGGCAGAAAAAATTATGTTTTTAACAGGAAACGACCTATTCTATCAGTTTTGTTAACTGGGCAGTGACCATTTTAACTAATTGAATTCTTAGAAAAGGAAATTCTGAGCTACAGCATGCAGTGACAAAGTCAACGCGTCAATAACTGCTCTTTCAGAGTCGAAAGAAACTCTGTCTCATTTCGTAGTGAAATCTGCATCTAGTTGTTGCGACATTCGAGTGAGAGTATGGGTAAGGAAGTATTGGATGTGGGTATGTGTGGGGTGAATGTGGATAATGTAGAAGAAGTAATCAGCACTCACAACCATAATCATACTCTCGCCGACAGAAACGAAGCTCGAACAGAACGAGAAAAAAAACATTTTTTCAACTTTCAACTACTTATTTAACGCATCGTCGATTGCTGAAAATACATTTGAGTATTCAGAATTTTTATCGTTTCGATATAGTATTCAACAGCAAAAAAATCTTTATAGTAGTCATATGCAAGGTGTTTTAATAGTCATCATCAATTTCCTGATACTTAAAGCATTTTCAACCATTCTCATTAAATTCTGTCGTGTTTAATCCAACGCATGATCAGAATTATTATATGTGTCGCAAAGATTCAATAAATCTGTTATCCTGTGATCTTTCAGGCAACATTCAGGGAACTTCCATTCAAAGTAGTACTCTGAGAACAAGTAAGCGTTTGCAATATAGAAACATCCTGAAAGAAGCTTCTCTTGATTTTTCAGTTTACGATTAATAGGAACTTCATTTCTTGTTGCTAAGATCCTCATCTGTAATTCATAAAAATCTTTCTAGCATTTGTATACGATACTTTTTAGTAGATCTTCTCAAGAATTTGCCAATATACTGCTAGAAATCCTTTTCTACTCCTTCGGATAAGGTCTTGCTATCAACATTATGAAATATGTCTTCAGCTAAAAGTTGTAGAAATCCAGAAGAAACAACGAGAAGCTTCTGACTGAAATTTGACGAATCTCGATAAAACTCCACCTCCCTACTACTAGATATTAGTGTGATCGCTTGTTTCATCTTATTTTTTTTTTGTATATGTAGTACAATGAGAATGGTTTCTTATGGCATCATTTATTTGTTTCCTTCACAATTGCAACTATCAATTGTTTTTGTAAAATCTTTTCAATAGAGTATACTTTTATTAAACAGAGTCATTCATTTCTAATTCATATTTATTATTGTCAAAACAAATTAACGATAAACTTGTATTAATCAACAATTAATGATGAACTATAAATCATGCACTTCAGTCTATTTGTTATGATTATGATCTTTAGTCAAACTAAGACTACAAAGAACATTCTAAAGAGATTGAAGCCTTATTTTTAGGTATCGTAAGATCTACAAAACTTTTTAAAGGTACAGTAAAGATGTACCATCAAAGTCTCATCTTCCACTGTTTATTCACTTGCAGGAAGTTCTTTTTTTTCCAAAAACCTGTCTTTGATACAAACATATCGTCACTTGTAGAAGCAGCTCAGATCGAACAAACACTATTGTAAATAAATGGAAACCGTTGTATATTGAGATATTACATGACTCAGTGCTACAAGTGTATTTCTTTGTATTTTATACCGAGAAATGCGATTGTTTATGGCACCATTTTAGTTGTGTAAATTCATGCTTGTCTACTTGTTATTCGTTTCTACTTCATTTGTGTTACGAAAAGGGAAATATTGATACCGTATTGATTTTGATCAAAGTGACCATGACATATATGCTATTCTCACGATAGTATAGAATTGTCTTGTTTATATTCTTTTTTTTCTTAGACGAATACTGCATGGAGTGAGCTTGGGTGGGTGTGGGTGTGGATCATCAGTTTACCTACACCCACCCCTGGCTACATCTGGTCACGCCCTCACTATTAGCTTTATAGAACTTTTTTCTGACTATCAAATTAATATGCACATAAAACTATGTTTTGCTATGAAAAATCTCTATAGAATGAATATTAGTCTGCTCACGATTTCAAAAGAAGAAAAGAGTCAGATTGTAAACATGTCTCATGGAATCCTGTGAAGTCTTCTCAATTTCACACAAATAGAAAGCTTTTTATGATCTTACTAAGATCACATCATGGGCGTCCTTGGAACAGCTTGACAGAAGCTGACAAAAAACTAATGAAATATCACCTTCATTCTCTATGCTAATAGAAATTTTGTCAGAACCACGTGAAAAATATTCTGAATATACGTACCGTTGACGATACACATTTATCGTTCAAGGAATTCTCATTCTCATTCTTGACATCTTCGTGGCAAGATCTTGTTGAAATCTTCTTAGAAGTCTTTCAATTTAAAAGTATAACAAAATTAATTATTTTTTTTCTTATACCCTTCAAGGATTTAAGCTTGCTAGTGTTCTTTGTTATAATCCTGTGGAGATTCTGCACTCGCAATTACGACTTAAATTCGAAGATATGTAAGTTTTTCTATCGAGATTCTAGAGAGGATTAGCATTGGTCTTTCTCCACGTACAGCTTTCATCCAACGCAAAGATTCTACTTTTACAGATCTACAGGATCTTGGCGAAACTTAAACAAAACACTGCAAACATAGGTTGTCATTAATTATACTAAGTTTTCTCACAAAGTCAACCCATGGGATAAAAAAATGGAAAAAGAATGGTGACTTTCATGTAAAAAGAATGAAAAAAATGACATTTTTCATAATGAAACGGACATAATCGTGCATGTTTTTTATTTTCATCGATTAAAATCAAAATTTTCACCAATCTCATTTCATGATTTTGATTTCTAATCATTTTCATTATGATAATTTTGATTATAAATCAAAAT